AAATTTTTGATCCATTTGGGATTTATCTTGATTCCCTGAGAAGGTTATATACAACTTACTTTTATTTCTGATGCCACCTCTTTATATATCTTCATTTATTGGATATTCTATCTTTATGTCACAGACTTGAAACTTTACCTTTTTATATAGTAAATTAACCTGTGAATTTGAATCTCTGGAATTTCAATTTTTCTATTGTTTCATTGTATGTCCCTGTTCAAGTGTCTGTGTGACATTCTTTTTTTTATGACTTTAAGATTGACTGTCATGCAATATTCTGCATGCATTTCAAGTAAATAATTTGATCAGTTATGATATACGTATACACTAGTGAAACCATCACTACAATCAAAATAATTAAAATTTTCTTGTGCCCTTTTTTAATTTATCACAAACTCTGATGTCACCCATTGTGACTAAGCAACAAACTGTCATTTTAATCTCCAGTTTCTAGACATTTGATAAATGGAATCATGTAGAATATACTCACTTTGTTTTTTATTCAAGTTATTTTGAGACTCATCTATGTTGTTGTCTTTGGCATTAGTTTGTTCCTTCTTATTGTTAAGTAGTAGTATTCTATATATTTGTTTTTCCATTCACCAGTTGTTGGACATTTAGGTTGATCCCAATTTTGGGCTATCACAAGAAAAGCTGCTATAAAATTTTGTATGTAAGATGGTGTGGATATAATGCTTTGGTTTCTCTTGAATAATGACGGAATGGCTAGGGCTTCCCTGGTGGCGCAGTGGTTAAGAATCTGCCTGTCAATGCAGGGGACACGGGTTTGAGCTCTGGTCCGGGAAGATCCCACATGCCACAGAGCACCTAAGCCTGAGTGCCACAGCTACTGAGCCTGCGCTCTAGAGCCCACGAGCCACAGCTACCAAGCCCACATGCCTAGAGCCCGTGCTCTGCAACAAGCCAATGCAATAAGAAGCCCACGCACCACAACTAAGAGTAGCCCCCGCTCGCCTCAACTAGCGAAAGCCGCGCACAGCAACGAAGACCCAACACAGCCAAAAATAAATAAATAATTTATTTTTTTTAAAAAAAATGGAATGGCTAGCTTGTATATGTGTAATTTTCTGAAATTGCTCAACTATTTTCTAAAGTGCTTGTATTCCAATAAGAAGTGAATGAGGGACTTCCCTGGTGGCGTGGTGGTTAAGAATCTGCCTGCCAATGCAGGGAACACAGGTTTGATCCCTGGTCTGGGAAGATCCCACATGCTGCGGAGCAACTAAGCCCATGCACCACACCTACTGAGCCTGTGCTCTAGAGCCTGCGAGCCACAACTACTGAGCCTGCATGTCACAACTCCTGAAGCCCATGTGCCACAATTACTGGAGCTTGAGCACCTAGAGTCCGTGCTCCACAACGAGAAGCCACCGCAATGAGAAGCTGGCACACCGCAACAAAGAGTAGCCCCCGCTCGCCGCAACTAGAGAAAGCCCACGTGCAGCAACGAAGACCCAAAGCAGCCAAAAATAAATAAATAAAAATTAAAAAAAGAAAAAAGAAGTGAATGAGATTTCCAGTTGATCTGCATCTTTATCAACACCTGACACTGCCAGTCTTTATAAGTTTAGTTATGCTTATGGATGTATCTGTGGTTTTAATTAGCATCTCCTTTAAGATGCAATTTACAGATAAGATCTTTCATGTACTTATCTTCTTTCATGAAGTGTCTGTTCTAATACTTTGCTCATTTTACATATTTTTTTCCTTCTCATTAGTTGCAAGAATCCGTTTTATTTTGGGGGCATATGTTTCTCAAATATCTTCTAATCTTTGGCTTGCCTTTTGATTTTCCTAATTGGTTTTGAAAAACAGAAGTTTTTAATACTGATTAAGTCCAATACACTGATGTCTTTAAATCTACAGATCAATTTGAGGACAACTGACATCTTTACAATATTGATTCTTCCAATCGATGAATATGACATATTTCTTCAATGTCTTCTTTAATTTCTCTGAGTTGGGTTTTAGGGGGAGTTCTCGGAAAACAATGGCCCACAGGCCAAAATCAGCTCATGGCTTGTTTTTTGTATGGTCCATGAGATAAGAATAATTTTTACATTTCAAAGGGTTGTCATAAAAATGAAGAATAAAATGGAAAAGATACTACCCGTAGCTCACAAACCTAAAATATTTCATATCTGGTCCTTTACAGAAAAGTTTGTCAGCCCTGTTGTAGAGAATTGTGTGTAGAGGTCTTGAACATAACTCATTAGATTCATTCCCAGGTATTTTATACCTCTGATGCCATCAAGTAACATCTTTTATGACTAAGTTTATTTAAAATGTTACATGCCTGGTACAGAGTGGTTGTTTAATTGATATTCAACAAAAAAACGAAGAAAAACATTTTCATTTTCAGAAATGAATTTGTGAAACAGCCTGCTAAAGGATGCTGAGTTAAGACCATGACAGATCAGCAAAAGGAAGACACAGGAAAGAGATTCTGAAGAGTGTAGATTTCCTTTCTGTCTTGGCTTTCTGCCTCTGCGCTTTCCTTTTCGGCCCCCTGCCCCACTGCTACTTCCTCTGACAAAGACTTCTGACACCTTAGGGACATGGATGTTGGTGCTATACGATTGAGGAAAACATAAAGGCATTATTTTTTCAATTTTATTTTCTTCCTGTTCATTGCTGGTATATTAGCGAGGGTTCTCCAGAGAAACAGAACCAACATCTGTTTGGTTCTATCTATCTGGATAGATAGATAGAGGATAGACAGATATTCTAAGCAACTGGCTTGCATGATTGATTCTGAGGGCTTATAAGTCTAAAATCCATAGGGCAGTCCTGCAGGTTGGAAACTCGGGTAAGAGTTGCTGTTCCAGCCTTGAGTCCAAATACTTCAGGGAATCAGGCTGGAAACCCAGACAGAGTTTCTATGCTCTCGAGGCGAATAGCTTCCTCGGTAAAGCTTAGCCTTTGCTCTAAGACGTTCAACTGATTGGATTAGGTCTAACAAAGATTCTCTCCTTCACCAAACTTTAATCAGGTGCCCCTAAACTCCCTTCTCAATTAGGCTCTGACTTTTGAACTTCCGTTATTTGTCTCTGCATTCCTCAGTTTTTGCAAGGATCCTGCTAAATCAGTTTAGCCTGAATTTCCCACCCTCAATATCTGACATCTGGTTCCTCCTCCTCCTCCTCGAGCCCTGTCTGATCATCCCACCTGCCTCCCGCAAGAACCCTGTCAGGTCAGTTTAGCCAGAATCCGGCCCCCACTCCGCCCCCCTTAACCCTCTTGTTTTCTCTTAGCCGTTTTCCGTTCACGGACATGCCAGTCACGCCCAGCCGGCTCCTGGGCTACGAATTCCCACCTTCTCTTGTATGGAATTGCGCCCAACCTCTCTAACCTAGTACAAAACCCCACTGTAGTAGACGCCCTGAATAAAGTTTGCCTTACCGTTAACAAGTGTCAGCGATAACTTTTCTGTAACTCTTCCATCCACAGGGGACTCAGACATGGGTTCACCAACCTGGTCACCCATCCTATTTGGCTTCAGCCTCTGGCTTATTTTCCTCGTGTCTGTAAAATCACAGGACTAGGACCTCACTACTAAACATGTGGTCCTCAGAGCAGCAATGCCAGCACCACCTGCGACTGTGTTAGAAACGCACAATCTTGGCTCCAAAAGTTATCCTTGTGGACCTTTTTCTTTTCTTTTTTGTTTCGGCTTTCTTTCCTGTCCTGCCAGCTGTATACTTGTATGTACATTTTTCAGTGTTTTCTGTGGACAATAAAAAGTTAAAAATGAATTCTAGGAGCAGCTGCGTTAGCTGCGTCCGGCTGGGTTCTTCAGACGCAGGGCAGCGTTTGTGGAGACGGCTTCGCCCGCCGCTGAGGGGCTGCCGCAACCGGCCATAAGCCGTGTGGACGCGGTCCGTTCACGGCGTGCTGCTTCCGCCCACCCCTACGAAACTCCGCCTCATCTTCCCCTCCGCCGGTCCCCGCCTGGCTGCCCGCGAGGCCCCGACTGGCTCAGTCACAGCGGCCACCGGACTGCCGCGAAAACCCGGACTAACGGACTCCTGAAGTCGCTGGGGTCGTCGCGAGGGTGGCGGGGTGCCTCACGGAGCATGCGTAGGGAGGGTGCGCGCACATGCGCAGTGCCGGCGCAGGGTCGCGCGCTGGGTGTCTGGCGGCCGAGAGGCTGCGCGCGCGGTTGACGTGCTCGGTGGCTGCGGCGGCGGCGGCAGGGCGTCAAGAGGGGAAGGGCGGGCGGGGCCGGGGGCTGAACCCGGAAGTGGGTCGGCGCCAGAGCCAGCGCGCCCGGAGTGAAGCTCAGCGTCCGGGAGCCAACGGGTAGCCCTGGGTTCCCGGTAATGGACGCGCGGGGCGTCTGCGCGGGGAGCGGGTTGGCGGGCGGCGGGGGAGCCCTCGGCGGCGCGGTCTCCACCCGGCGGGGCCTGAGGAGGCTCTGCTCCGGCGGCCGTCCCCCGGGTGACCCGCTCTCCTCTCCGCGCCTCCCGGGGCCGTCCCGCCGGGCGCCTCCAGCATTTGGACGCTCGCCGGCCCCGAGGAGGTGCGCCTAGCAGCCCCTGGGAAGCGTATTAATGGGGGATGTGGGTTCCGCGGCCGCGACGGCCTGGTTGTCACTGTCCCGGCGCCCCTGCACCGCGAAGGTGGCCGCCTCGACCTGCACCCACGGCGGGCTCCGCGGAGCCTCCCCTTCTGCCCCACTTTCTCCTACCCGGTTCGGGAATCGGGCCTGCAAGGTGTGCTCTGCCTCCTTTAAAATTCTTTTGTTGGCTGTGTTTTCTAACCCAGCCCTCCTTGTTCTCCGCCCTAAAATCTCAGCCACGAATGAGTGGAAGCGGTGACTTTATCATAATTTAGTTCTCGTTTAGGAAGGATTTGTTGACAATGCCGCGAATGATTTAGGATCGCTTGTCCATGCAGTTATTTTTCATGGTTCTTAACTCTTTTCGCAGACCATGCAACCCTCGGGCACGCCCCTCCAGAAGCTGTTATCCAAGACAATCTAGTTTTCCTTTATAAATCCCTCAAGACACTTATGAAGTTTCTTGTTCTGATACCGTTGTACTGCAATGAAGAAAAGGAGAAAGGTTACTTCACATCTTGACGAGAAGATCCATCTAGGCTACCATAAAGATTCTTCGGAAGGAAATGTTGCAGTGGAGTGTGAGCAAGTAACCTACACTCATTCCACGGAAAGACCGGCTCCCGAAGCTCTTCGCTGTTACCAGGAACTTCCTCCCTCTCCGGATCAGAGAAAACTTCTGAGTTCTTTGCAGTACAATAAGAACTTGCTGAAGTATTTAAATGATGATAGGCAGAAGCAGCCGTCTTTCTGTGACTTACTTATCATAGTAGAAGGAAAAGAATTTAGTGCGCACAAAGTCGTCGTTGCTGTTGGCAGTAGTTATTTTCATGCGTGTTTGAGCAAAAATCCAAGCACGGATGTTGTCACCCTGGATCACGTAACTCACTCTGTTTTTCAGCATTTGCTTGAATTTCTTTACACATCAGAATTTTTTGTGTACAAATATGAAATCCCACTTGTTTTAGAGGCTGCAAAATTCCTGGATATTATAGATGCAGTTAAGCTGCTAAATAACGAAAATGTTGCCACTTTTCAGTCTGAGCTAACTGAAAAATCATCACCAGAAGAAACACTAAGTGAGTTAACTGGAAGACTGTCGAGTAATCATCAGTGTAAATTCTGTAGTAGACATTTTTGTTATAAGAAGTCTTTAGAGAATCATTTGGCGAAAACCCATAGATCCCTTTTATTAGGGAAAAAGCATGGGTTAAAAATGCTGGAGAGAAGTTTTTCCACAAGGAGATCAAAACGGAATCGGAAGTGCCCTGTTAAGTTTGATGACACTAGTGATGATGAACAAGAAAGTGGTGATGGGTCAGACAATTTGAATCAAGACAGTTTTGATAAGGAAAAGTCAGATAGAAATGATTCTGAGGATCCCGGCAGTGAATGTAATGCTGAAGAGGATGAGCTAGAGGAGGAAATGTCAGATGAATACTCTGACATTGAAGAGCACAGTGAAAAGGATCCCCATGATGCAGAAGAGGAGCCTGAGGCTGGAGATTCTGTCGGAAGCATTCATGATGGATTAACCCCTGTAGTCATTCAGAACAGTAACAAAAAAATATTGCAGTGTCCCAAATGCGATAAGACATTTGACCGCATAGGTAAGAAAAGAAAGCTTGTTTCCTGTCTCTAATAACTTACTTTTCATGGATATTTTAAAGGTGATAGTTGGAAACTAAACTTTGAAAGTAACTTTTAAAAAGAAAACTTAAGTAGGGAGGATATCTGATTTTTGATACATATTTTATCCTGTTATTATAGGTTTGTTGTGATTCAGGAATTAAGTATTTATATTACCCTTTATTTTCTCTTCCTCATGTCTTGGCAGTAGGTGACAGATCATTAGTTCCTGTATTTAGTGTGAAAAATTCCAGAGTATCAATAATTAGGAATGTAGAGCTTTGATTTATATGTGAATTTAATTTCATAGGTAATTGATATTTTTGAGTCATTATAGAAAATTGAATTAGGTTAATTAGATATAATTTAATAATTTGTATACTATTTCCCCTTGAGCAGGGTAATATGTGAGTCATAAATACAGTCACTTTTCCAGTATCCAGTACTGTTTAGAATTGGGATGTTTCAGATTAGTCTAATACATAGTTAGGAATAAAACTGTGCTAAATGTAATTTCATTCTGTAGACAGAGACTTAAGGAAGTAGCCTAATAGTATTCTTGGGTTATTATAATAATGAATATATCAACTTTTTCTTTATTAAAAAGCCTATGTGTATAACTGATTCACTCTGTTATAAAGCAGAAACTAACACACCATTGTAAAGCAATTATACCCCAATAAAGATGTTAAAAAAAAAAAAAAGCCTATGTAGGAAATGTCTCTAACCTTAAGTTAAAATTTTATCAGTGAATATTTACTTTCAAGAGATCTAATATTTGCTAGTAAAATAATTTTTGGAGGTGTCTTATATGGACTTTCTAATGTGAACTTTTAAATTGCAGCAGTTCAGCTATTTACATATAAATCAAAGTTATGAAATTGGGAAATATATTCGACCGCATAGAATGATAAAAAGAAGAGATAAGTGTAATTTGACCTTGTAAAATTACTTATACAGTTTAATATATCCCAATGTGTCTTGGAGTGTTGAGTTACTTGTTATTGGCATAGGTGGAAATTGGTTACATTTGCATTTACATAGACATTGGTAATTATTTGCTCTCAAAATATTCGATAGTATAAACTATGGCATAGCAGTGGTAACGTCTTTTTGCTTTTTCTTATGCCTTTGAATATTTTTTTCTAAATCAGAATGCTTTTGGCAATCCAATTTAATAATTATTGTTATTTTTACTGTGTTTAAGTTTCTATACAAATGAATAAAACAACTTTTTTTGAGTAGGTCAGTTGGAAGAGTGTGCGGATACAAGTAGCGTGTTAAACTCAGGTTGGTAAATGCTCTTGAAGAGCTGTGAACAGACGCTGTGAGGGGTATAGACACGAGAACAACATCTTTGAATTGAGATACCTGACAACATTTCATCTTTCCAGTTGAGTCTCTTTTTTAGACTTTGTATTTTTAGCACATGCTTCCTGTATTACACCTTAATTTGACCTAATTTGACTTGAGGTGTGTGGGCAAGGGTCAGTTTGAAAATGGCATTGTAGGCCTCAAACTGTCCTATCGAACACTAACTAGGCCTGTGAGATATGTTATGAGCAAGGGGTTCTGTGTTCAGGTAAGACGGGGATAACTATACTCCTCTATCTGTATTAATGCTCTCAAATTCTTTAGTAAAGAAACCTGTTCATTTTACTTAACCTGGCATTTCCTCAAATAATTTTACCACTAGACACTTTTGGGGTTTTCCTTGGAAACTCCCAGGAAAGTAGAGTTCTGTGCACACTATTTGGGGAAAGAGTGTGATCAAGGTCAAGGTCCTAATGTACTAAGAGGAAGGCGTTTTGCAGCTTTTTTGACCAAATTCAGTTCAGATAATCAGATAATTGTGGGAATCAGTAGGGCACATTGTCAGCTTATTTCCAGCCTCTTTCCTGAATGTATTTTACGTTATACCCCTCTTATTGAGCCCCTCTCTTGCTTAGCTTCGTTGGGGCTTGCTGGCTTTTCCCCAGTACAGAGAAAGAGAGCAAGCAAGAGATTGAGATTGTGATTTTATCATATTGGTTACAAAGTATGAGCTGTGGTGATGTCAGACTGCCTGCATTTTTGAATCCAGGTCTTATGTGAGTTGCTTAACCTGTGTGTGTACTTTTGTTTCCTCACAGATAGAGTGGGATGATGCTAATGGTACCTTCTCATGGGGGTTACTTTGAGGATTAAATGGGATAGTCCTTGTGAATCACTTAAAATATCGTGTGAAATTTAGGTGTGTAGGAAAT